ATTTGCTTTTCAGATACCCCAAATAGCTGTGCCATGAGTTCTGTTCAGGTTTTATAGTGGTGTTTGGTAGGAGAGAAGTTTTCATGTGTTTTCTCCATCGTACCAGGAATCAGCCTTGAAATCTCTTCTTACTGGCTTTCATAGCTTCTTTGTGCTTTACACTTTCTCTAATCCTGAAATCTAAGTTTCCATGAGCTCAGATTTGGCTCTCTTCTTTCCTCAGTATGTTCTCTGTCTTGGAGAGATCATCCCTTTCTAAAGCATCACAGGATCCTCTGAAGCAGGTAATTCCTATAAATGGGGAGAATCTTTATTACTCCCCCCGCCCCAAAGATGATAGGTCCTACTGGATATTAGGTTGGACTACCATTCCTTTGCAAATTCAAAATATCTTCTCCTTATGCTACCTTTTCTGTTAATGATGCTTTCCTCCACCTGAAACCCACCTAAAGCCCTTGTATGGTCAGTGCTGCTAGAGCAGGATGCATATATTTCAGTATCACTCTGCTATGCAAAATCATGAATAAAAACCAGGGGCCTTGGGGCGCTTCAGCAGCTTCAGCATCACCCGGAGGCCAAGTTGCTGGACCCCACCTGCCTCCAGGTGTGCGATGGAACCGAGGATTTGCCCTTCTAACAGTTTCCCTAGAGATGTGAAGCATCCGCGTCTGCTCTGAAGGCTCCCTTCGGGGATCCCCGCTTTGCAGTGACTGGGAGCTTTATGAAAGATTTAGATGTCCTCCTATCTCCCCTCCACCTAGTGAGCAGCAGGCTGGGACTCCGGCTAAAACAATACTAGGTGTAAGGACCTATTTTATATTTTTATTTTAGCCAGAGGCTTCCACTGAGGTTAAACAATAACTTTGTTGTTTAACCCTTAAACAGTCCCTGCTCCCCTTCCCCCAGGGGACTTAAAAACAAGTCCTGGAAACCAGCCTCAGGTAACAAAGCTCAAATACAATTGTGGGTCCGGCCAGGTGGAGACATCTATCAGTGCGGGCGCAGACTGTCTCCTAGCTACCAAGGTGGTGGGCTGGTTTCCATGGCTACTGTGGGGTGAATTGTAATTCAATTAGCCACCTGCATGAGGCAAGGCCCAACCACCAAGCCTTTGCTCTATAAAAGTTAGTCTGGAAAGCAGGGAGAGGTCATCCTGTGTAAGGGGCAACCCCCACTGGTCTGTTTGACGGTGGGTCTGATTCTTGATGCTTGCTGCGAAATAAAGCTTTGCTTGACCTTCGCTTTGTATCCGTCTAGCTCCTTTAATCACGGACCCATTATTGGGGGGCCCATTTTTGGGGGGACCTAACACTAGGTCAACATCTCATTGTCCTCACGGGCTCAGAGAGAAGCCAGAATAGGAGAGCGGTGGGCGCACCTGGGCTAGAATCTGGCCTGGCCGGCCACCAGGTGCGTGGCCGGAGGCGGACGCCAGGGGGCGGCCTCGCGCTCGCCCTTGCCAGGGCTGGTTTCCGGCCGCGTCTAAGCAGGAGGCCGCGGATTCCACCGGGCCGCAGGTAGGCGCGGGGGGCTTGGAGGTGTGGCGGAGAGGCGGTGGGGGAACGCGGGGAAGCGGCGGGCGGGGGCGCGGAGTCCTGGTCGGACCCGCGGAGTCCTGGTCGGACCCGCGAGAGCCAGGGGCTGCGGGGCGGGGCGGGGCGGGGGCGGCGGCCGTGGAGGGCGGCTGGGCTTCCTTCCGAGTCTGTCCCTGTTGGGCGGCCGCCTCGGTCCTTCCACGTCGCGCCTCACGGCCCAGCTGCACCTCCGCGCGGCGGACGGCCCGGCCGGGGCTTCGGCTCTGTCCCTCCGGCGTCCGCTGTGCTCGGCCCCGTAGTGCCGCCGCCGCGCGCCGCCTTTCGGCGCGGGCCTCCGTGGTGGGGGTCGTCCTGGGCCTCGGTTCGTGAAGGCTCAGCGAGGCCGAGCGGTCTTGTCTCCGTCCGTTTTGCCGTGTCCGTAGCACCTTAAGGCTAAGTAAGCGTCCGAGATGTTTGAAACAATTTGAAACAAAACGCTGTAAAGCGCCTTGTGTCCTGGTGGCAAGATGGGATTCCGTTCTAAATTGTACTGGGTGGCACCCGTTCGTTCCTTCTCTGCTTGAATCGGATACTCCATAAATCGGTAAAAAAACTGGTTTTGTGCTCTTCCTTTTCTTTCTTGTAAACGAGCTGTGAGTGTAGAGCAGTGGTTTCCAGTTTTTTCCACTGCTAGCTTGTAGCTACCAACGTTGGAAGTTCTGTGTCTCAACAGTGCCTGCATTTTTCCTGACCCAACTGGCCCCACAATCTCCATTCCTTGTGAACCAGCAACGATCGTTGCCATTTTGCTTATTTTTCTACCGCAGAGTTCCTTCAGCCACACGGGCTGCTCCAGAAATAGGCCTTTAAGGGAGAGAGACCCATCAGGTGTTGGGGTGCGCCAGAGAGTCCTTTAAGAAATGGGCAGTCTCAGGTTTACCCCCCCCACCCCCACGCAGTGAACGTGCTATGTTCAGTTCCGTTCCACACCTGAGGGCTGCAGGATTTATTTAGTTATTTATAAGAAGATTTTATGACAGAGGGAGACACAGCGAGAGAGGAAACAAGCAGGAAAGTGGGAGAGGGAGAGGCAGGCTTCCCACTGAGCAGGGAGCCCGATGTGGGACTTGATCCCAGGACTCTGGCATCGTGACCTGAGCGGAAGGCAGCCACTTAACCGACTGAGCCACCCAGGCGCCCCCCGGGTTGCAGGATTTAGAGAAATAAGGTGAGTTTAAGGCCAGAAAACTTGGCTCCTCCAACTACAGTTTAGTGACCTTGGCTACATCACTTCACCTCAGTTCTCTTATCTGTTAAGTGGGAATAATAATTATACATGTCTCACAGAATTGGTGTGAGGTTGACACTGTTGAATTTTTGGGTGAGTTTTTTTCTGAGGATGCAGAAGTGGATCTGAGGGCTTAGGGATAATTGAAAGATTATTGAGGCATATAACTTCAGGGTCCACAAGAAATGCATTAAATGGGTAACTCTGTGGGGTGCATGGGTGCCTCAGTTGGTTAAGCACCTGCCTTTGGCTCAAGTCTTGATTCCGGGGTCCTGGGATAGAACCCCGTGTTGGGCTCCCTGCTCAGCAGGGAGCCTGTCCTGTCTCCCCCTGCTTGTGGTCTCTGTCAAATAAAATCTTAAAAAAAAAAAAAAATTGGGTAACTGGGTAGTGATCTAATGTAGATTAGAAAAAATGAATTTCTAGAGTTCTGCAGAATTTCCTACCTGATGCTGGCAGCCTTTGTGTGGAAATGAAGGAAGTAGTATCCCTCCAAAAGAAAAAAAAAACAACAGCAAAAACGATAGGCTTCAGGCCCTATACAACTGACTCTCCTACCTGTGGCAAGATAGGATTGAGCAAGGGGGTTGGAGAAGTAAAAAGATGGTGAACTCAGACGGGAGGAGGTGCTGGAAGCAAGCATCAGAGGACAGGCACATGAACAGAGAACAGATTCGGTGGGAGTGTGAAGGTGGCAGAGAGGAGTCCTGAGTGATCTGGCGGGCAGTGCATTTTTATTGAGTGCCTGTTGTACACCAGCTGCTGAGGATCCAGGGGTGCGCCAAGCAGGCAGGCAGTACCCTGGTTGCTCACAGTTGAGGAAGAAAGGATGCACATGCCAGAGCCTGGGCGTCTCAGGGGGGTGACTTCAAGAACAGAGGGAAGCTCAGGGCCTAGAGTGTGGGGTGCAAGGAGGCGTCTGGAGAGGTGGACAGAGGCTGGAGCTCAGGGGGCCTTATAGGAGTTTGGGCATTGCTCTGAGGACAGAGAAGGACGGTTAGTTGATTTTAAGCAAGGAGTGATCGGATTTGTGCTTTAGAAAGATCACCCTGTGTATGCCAGCGAGACACTTCCCACACGTGCAGAAGGAGGTGTGTACAAAACCCGCTTTGCTGGTGGTATAGTTAAACAAGTGAAAATGGCAAACTCGAGTTGGATGTACCCTCATGGATAAACCTCGTAAACCTAATGTTGGGCGTTTTTTTTTTTTTTTTTAAGATTTTATTTATTTATTTGACAGACAGGGATCACAAGTAGGCAGAGAGGCAGGCAGAGAGAGAGGGAGAAGCAGGCTCCCTACTGAGCAGAGAGCCCAATGTGGGGCTTGATCCAGGACCCTGAGATCATGACCTGAGCCGAAGGCAGAGGCTTTAACCCACTGAGCCACCCAGGCGCCCTTTTTTAAGATTTTATTTATTTATTTGACAGAGAGAGATCACAAGTAGGCAGAGAGGCAGGCAGAGAGGTGGGGGGGCGGGAAGCAGGCTCCCTACTGAGCAGAGAGCCCAATGTGGGGCTTGATCCCAGGACCCTGAGATCACGACCTGAGCCGAAGGCAGAGACTTTAACCCACTGAGCCACCCAGGCGCCCCTAAAGTTGGGCTTTTAAAAAAGCAAGTTACGAAGAATGGATACAGTACAGCTACTTGTATACAGTGTGTAAACATCGATACGTTATGCGTTGTTATTTATAGGCACAAACTGGTGGTGAAAATAAAAAGTGTGTGTGGAAATTCTATACACCAGTGGTTCTTGGGCTTTAGTGTGCATCCGAATCCACTAGAAGACTTGTTAAAACAGAGATTTCTGGGTTCAGGAGATTTGGAGAGAGGATTTCACCTGAGAGTTTCTGGTTCAGGAGATTTGGAGAGAGGATTCCAGAACTCAGATTTCTCAGAAGTTCTTAGATGCTGCTGCTGCTGCAGGTCCTGGGACATCAGCTTGTGGATGGTGGTTCCTTCTTGGGAGGGAGCAGAATAGGACCTGGAGGGGTCCAAAGGGGCTTCAACTATATATATAATATTTTATTTCTTTATTCTTTATTTCTTTCTTTATTTCTTTAAGAAAGATCTTGTGATGCACCGTTACTTGACAAAGCTGGAGGGGTGTTCATGATCTTACTTTTTAGTTTTTTCTGTGCTTGAAACATTTCAGGAAGGAATAAAGTATCTATTTGCTGTGTGGAGAATGGACTGGAAAAGAGAAGGAAGTGGGTGTTCCTGCAGGAAGCTTTGCAGAAGCCCGGGTAAGAGTTGCTGGAGACTTAGACCAGGGGTGGCAGGGGAAGGGGAAAAGTGAGCAGAGCTGGGAGAGGTTTGAGTGAAAGAATTGACTGTGCATGGTGATTGGTCGGTTTGGAGGTTGGGGGAGGGTGGAACCTGTTTTGTGACTTGAGCAAGTGGGCATTGTATGCTTGTGACAGTGAGGGAACCCTGGAGGAGGGGCAGAGGACAGAGTTAAGTTCTGGACATCCCAGGCCTTGACAAACCAGCTGAGTGAAGTGTAGGAGAAATACCCAGGCCACTGTAGAGACTTGGAGACCAGTGCCATCTCCATGCACGTGAGCAAGATTATACAGAGGGAAGGCGCAGGATGGAAGGCTAGTCTGCAACAGACCCACAAGAATAGCACCACCCAGTGCGGGACTCAGCCAGCCTCTGCCTGCCACCTGCGTTTGTATGACCTGTGAGCTAAGAATGCTTTGTACCTTTTGAAACGCTGGGGGGGGAATCAGAAGAGAAATAATCTTATGTGACACATGAAAACTTTCTGAAATTCAAATTTCATTGTCCGTATGTAAAGTTTTATTCAAACACAGCCACGCTCATTGTTTCTGTAATGTAGGGGGCGGCTTTCACACCCAGGTGACAGACCTGAATGACAGTGACAGAGAGTTTGTGGCCTGTCATGGCTTTACACTGCCTCTTGGTGCCCCACAAGTCACGTGATGCAGTTGTCACTGGATTTCACCTTTTGCCCCTAACCCTAATATTTACCATCTGGCCCTTTACAGAAAAAAGTGCTGTTTCTTGACCTGAGGTCTGAGTTGAGACACACTTGGTCTTTTTGAATGTTGTAGAAGAGAGATGACGGTGGTTTTATTCATTTCTGTAAGAGCACCTTCTAAGAATCAGGTACCAATAGAGGAATCCCATGAGACCGTGAGGGCTGAATGGGAAAATTCATCATAGTTTTAGTCAAAGGCCCTGAAGACAGGAGGGAATGGGCCAGAGAGAAAGACACGGGCCCTGAGTCTTTGTGGGAAAGGTGAGCGAACAGCCATCACAGCCCCAACAGGCACAGCTGGGAAAACTGAGGGGCAGGTGAGCAGGTGGCACTAGGTCAAGAAAAGGCGGAGACTTGAGTGAGGCTGGAACAGTGCGGTAGAGCCAGGGTTTGGTGGACAGCTCGTAATCACAATGGGGATTTGCACAGCAGCATTTTAAAAAAATTAATTAGGAAGAACTATATGGGGGTTTGGAACCATCCATTACTTCTAAAATGTCTTGCTCAGAGAAAGCAGTGTTGCTCTGCTGACCCTTGGTGGGGGTCACTGGGGCTGGGTCACTGGAAGAACAGAGCAGTCGAGTGTTGAGGGTCTGAACGCTGAAAACAGCAGATTTGTAGGGAGGGGGCAGACATTGTGTTTGGGAAGCATTTTAGTTATCTGTTCACGTTGAGATAAAATTCACATACCATTAAGTTTGCTCTTTAAAGTGTACCATTCATTGATTTTTAGTATATTCACAAGGTTGTGCAATCTCCACTAATTCCAGAACGTTTTCATCCAAAAAGAAATCCTGTGCCATTAGCGGCCACTCCCCATTTCCCCTTTCACTCAGCCCCTAGCAGTCACTAACCTGCTTTCTGTTTGTATGGATGTGCCTGTACGTACATTTCATATAATACAGTCCTACAATACAGGACCTCTTGTATCTGCCTTAATCTCACTTAGCATCAAGTTTTCGAGTTTCATCCATGTTACAGCAGGTATTAGTGCTTTATTTCTTTTTGTGGGTGATTAATACTCCATGTCTAGTTATGGCAATTTTATTTGACCATGTATGGACTTCAGGTTATTTCTACTATTTGGCTGTTAGGAGTAGTGCTGCTGTGAACATTCATGTACTAGTGACTAGGGTTCATGCGAATGTACGTTGTCAGTTCCCTTGGGCATATACCGAGCGATGGATTTGTATGGCTAACTCCATATTCAACCTTTCGAGGAATTTCGAGACTCTCTTTTCCACAGAGGCTGCATCATTTTATATTGCCACCAGCAATGTATAAGGGTTCTATTTTCACATCTTCGTCTACACTCGTTCTTGCCTGACTCTTTGGCGACAGCCATCCTGTTGGGGATGAGGCGGGATCTCATTGTGTTTTGATTTGCATTTTCCTGATGACTAATAAAGTCAACGTGCCTGTTGGCTATCTGCCTGTCTTTTCTAGATAAATGTCTGTTCAAGTCCTTTGCCCATTTCCAAATTGAGTTATTTGTCATTTTACTGTCGAGAAGAAGTAGTATTTTGAATTGTCCGTTGGGACATCCTAGTAGAGATGTCAAGTTAGCGGGACTGGGGCTGTCAGCAGGTGGGGACAGGGAGCCCGAGTCTGGATAAGAGCACCCAGGGCATGAGTGCAGAAGTCTGTCCAAACCTCGGGCTCTCCAGCAGTCTGTAGACAAAGGCAAGAAGAGCCACCAGAGTGCACCTCCCTGGGAACCAGGTCACAAAGGCATTTCAAGGAGAAGGGAGTCATCAGTCATGCCAGATGCCACTGAGCGGTCAAGCCCGTGAACTGACTGCTGTGTTCAGCAGTAGTGAGGTCCTGGCGATTTGGTCACTGTGGGTGGAGTAGCCTTGGGTTCTAGAGGAAGAGGGGGAGTGTTGGAGATAGTAAGCATAGATAGTCCTTAAAGCTTTAAAGTCTTTATAGCTGCAGTGTGAACTTAGGAGAAATGCTGTTTTCTGTGAACCTTGCACCCGGCTTGATGGGTGTGTTGTCCCAGTGCTGTGAATGGTGGGTGGCCTGACTCTCTCCAGGAGAAGGTATGAAAGAGCTGTCTTCAGATTTTCTTCATGGCTGTCGCCTGTCAGGCCTCTGGTCTCGGTGCGAATCCTCGGAGAGGTGTTCTAGGACTGCTTCATCCAGGGATTTCCTCTCTGCTAGTCTCTATCCTTAAAAGCTCATCACAGTATACAAGGAGAAGATTTTTTGTTTCTTATTTATTGTCTCTCTCCTCCACTGGTTTCTCCCTAAGGTCCAAGAGGACAGGAACCATATCTGTGTATTTACTCACAGATCCCCAGGGCCTAGAGTGGGGTTGAGCATGGGGAAACGGCTTCATGAACGTGGAGTGAATAAGTGGTTGGAGTTTGGTGATGGAGGTTAAGGGAGCGCAGGGGTGGGGGGGGTAGGGGGGTGGGGACGGGGCGGTGGGGACGGGGCGGTGCGGACTCTGAACTCAGACCAGCTGGCAGGGTGCCACGATGGCCACCAGGCTGTCAGAGGACTTCCTGCGGCTGCTCTCCATCCTGGGGCTGGAGGGGGACGCCCAGACCCTAGGAGGGCCCCAGGAGAAGACCATCTGAACTGTTGCCGTTTGTCTCTGTGCAGAGTTGCAGTTTTCCTTCAGCAAACCTCCTTTTTGGTACTTCGTGGCAGAGTGTTTTCAAACCCATGCCTGGGACCAGTCAGGACACTGAGTGACCCAGGTGTCTGGGTGGAGGCCTGAGCTGGGAGAACGAAGGCGCTCCTGGAAGGTAACCCTTCATGTCACAGTCATTTCAGACACAGGAAGCACAGGGTCAGTTCTGTCACTAGTGTCCCCAACACATCCCAGTACTGACACTAAGAGAGCACACCGTTATGCCTGCCCATCATCCTAATCAAAATATCGACACGCTTCCACTCTGGTTCACACGTAGCTTCTGCCTCAGGCACCCTGAGTGTCAAGCACCTGACCTCCAGGGTCCTTCCGGCCCTCTCCCGTCCTAGCCCCTCCGCCACCGCACAACTCGGCAGGAATGCCCACCTCCACCGTAAGCCTCCCACCGGCACCAGCGCTAGAGCTGAGCCACTGAGTGTCCAGCCTTCTCGGTGGTGCCTGGTGCAAGGGTCACCTGCGCGTCGCCCTCACTCCGTTCTCACGACTGTTACTCCAGCTCGCATGCTTCTCAGCTCAGACCCCACACGACTGCCGGAGCCCTTGACCCAGTCTCCCCACCACCATCTCTTCCACCCCGACACATCTGTCACGCCTGCTGAAGAGGAGCCTTGCTTCTTACAAATGTTAGGGAGCTTTTTAGTATCTTCCACGGATTATCCCAATTCCTTAGCTGGTTCAGGAGGCTGTCAGCATTCTTGCCCTCACCCCCACCGTATCTGATCTTGGCTGCTCTCCTCTGTCCATCTGTCCTGGCCCCACTGGACTAACAAGTGCGGCTTGCTTTCATTTTGCTCACTCCTGTGGGAGGGACACAAAGTCAGACACACACAAACACCTTCCTCCTGGTGGAATCCAGACGAGCTGATACTAAGACACTGATTGTGCGAACAGCTGACACTGAGCATTTAGAATGAACCTAGTACGGGATACCTTCTTTAATCCTCCCAAGGACCCGAAGGCATGCAGGATCCTTGGGCATAAGAGGACTAAGAGGCTGTGCCTTCTTTTAACCCCTTGTCACTCAGACACCTTCATGATTACTTCTTGTTTGGTGTCACATCGCAGGAACCTGCAGAGGTTAGCAGCATGGACGGGAAAGCCCAGGACAGCAGCAGAGGCCTTCCCCGCAGAGCGGTGCCCCCAGCCGTGGGGCTGCTGCTCTCCATGGCTCTCATGAATGCTCTTCTCTACCTCTGCCTTGACTGGTTTTTCATCGCCCCTCCCCACTCCACTCCGGGCTCCACCCACTGTCCCCACGGACATTTCAGAATGGGACAGATGAAAAACTGTTCACCGTGGCTGTCCTGCGAGGAGCTGAGGACAGAAGTGAGGCAGCTGAAGCGTGTCGGGGAAGGAGCCGTGAAGAGAGTGAGTGCTGGCTTACATCTGAGTGTTAATGGGGTGACCTTTCAGGATGGCAAATTGGCATTATGTGTGAAGGGTCCTCAAAATATTTCTGCCTTTGAGCTCAGTGATCTCACATCTGGGACTTTATCCTAATCCAATGGAAGGGAAAAAAGCTAAATGCATCAAGGAGTATTTTGCTTTGTTATTTATAGCAATAGAAAACCAGTAATAAAAACTATTGGATATAGTTAATTATGGGCTAGCCACTTGATAGAATATTCTGCAGCCATTAAGTGTGTTTAGGAACCCTGTGTAGCAGCAGGAAAAAAAATCTTATGAGGATAAGTGAAAAAAGCAAAATGCAAAACTGCATAATACATGATTTTCAACTGCAAAATTAATGTGCTTATGTAGAAAAATACAGAAACGATAGAAATTGTGCTATGGTAAAAAGATTATGGGCAGTTTTTTTTAATTCTTATTTTTCAAGCCCTGGCATGGGATTATATTGACTTTTTAAAAGTTTTTTTATTAAAAATTTTTTTTTTATGTTAAAAAGAGAAACCAAAGGGGTGAATTCAGATGCCTCAAAAGCTGTTGTCTGTAGGCAACCAGTGTGTTGCCTGGCTGCACCTGGTGCCTTATTGGTTCTGTGGGAGCTAAGGCCCACTGATGCCTCTAGAGGTCAGAGAAGGATTGTTGCACAGAGCTCCTTTGTGAGGATATATTGAGGGACTGGCAGGAGGGAGAGGGAACAGAAAATGCATCCACATGGACAGCTGGCTTTTGTTTGGGGAGACCAGTGCACCATGAATGTGGAAAGGAGACTTTTTTTTAAAGATTTTATTTACTTACCTGAGAGAATAGTGATAGCAAGAGAGATCACAAGTGGGGAGGAGAGGGAGAAGCAGGCTCCCCACTGAGCCGAGAGCCCAGTGAGGGGCTGGGCTTGATCCCAGGCCCTGGGATCATGGGTAGACCCTTAAGCAACTGAGCCACCCTGGTGCCCCAGAAAGGAGACCTCTTGAAGGAAGAAGTCCGGGAAAAGGGAATGGAATTTATGCAAAGTAAAACCATAGAACAAGGTAACTTTTTAAAAAAGATTTATTAAAAAAAAAAAAAAGATTTATTCATTTATTGTAGGTGCTGGAGCTGTGGCAATGAATAAAACAGAGCCTGTTGAAGCTTTCTAGTTGGGGGATGAGACAATGAATAAGAAATAGATGCTCAATAAAATATGTTAATGACATGTGCTGGGAAGACAGCAGGGTGAGGAAGGAGCCACGGCTCACTACTCTAGGTGGTCAGAATGATCTGAGAGTGAGCCCTGTGGCTATCTGGGGAAAATATGTTCTAGTAAGAAAGATGGGTACCAGCAGAGTCCGAAGATGGAACATGCCTGGTTGTTCAGGGACCTGGAATGAGCCAGTGTCACCAGAGGGCAGGATGAGAAGGGAGGTAGCACATAAAGTCAGAGGAAAGCCAAGTGGTGGCCAGAGCATGTGAGGTTTGGTGGGACCAGGAGAGCCACTGGAGCAATTTGAGTAGAGGTAGAATGTGTTGTATGTGTGGAAAGGAGGCTGAGGTGTTGGTGAGGATGGAAGACTGGATGGGTCTTGCAGGGGAGAGATGGTCACAGCTGGACAAGGGTGTTAGCAGTGAACCTAGTAAGAAATCAATGGATTCTGGTCATGTCTTAAAGGCAGAGCCAGTAGGATTTCCTTTTTTTTTTTTGTTTTTTAAGATTTTATTTATTTGACAGAGAGATCACAAGGCAGAGCAGCAGGCAGGGGGTTGGGAAGCAGGCTCCCCACTGAGCAGAGAGCCCGTGGCGAGGCTCGATCCCAGGACCCTGGGATCATGACCTGAAGCCAAAGGCAGAGGCTTAACCCATTGAGCCACCCAGGCACCCCCAGTAGAGTTTCCTATTAGATCACTTCTGGGGTGTAAGTGAGGGAGAGGGTGACCACAAGGTTCTAGGTCCAGGCAACAAGAAGAGTAGTGCTGTCATTACCTGAGCAGGGAAGAATGGAAGAACAGATTTTGTGTGTATGAGGTGAACATGTTAAGGCAGTGAGTGAATGTGAAGGTTGGATATACAAGTCTAGCATTAGGGTCTGGGGCAATGGGTGGGAATATATATCTGGGATGATGCTGAAAGCATTAGGATGTGAAGAACACACCAGGGGGCGATGTGGGTAGAGAAGAGGACTTAGGCCCGGTTGATTTCTGTCTTCTTCATGACCTGGAGGGGCTGGCCGCCCACTTGTTTCCAGGTTACTGCTCAGGTCATTTTTGGACTTCTTTTTCAGAATTGCTCTTTACCTTGAAGGATATATTTTTGGGTAGATAGCTTTTTTTTTTCCTTCTTAAACTATTTATTTATTTACTTGAGAGAGGAATAGCAGGGGGAGGAGCAGAAAGAGGGAGAGAGAGAGAGTCTTTTAAGCAGACTCCGTATTGAGTGTGGAGCCCAACACAGGGCTCAATCCCATGACCCTGAGATCATGATCTGAGTTAAAACCAAGAGTCCAATGCTTAACCTACTGCCCTATCCAGGCACCCCTTCAGTAGGTAGCTTTGATGGTGGCGAATTGTTGTTGTTTGAGGACAGATTGGATTTGGGGGATGCCCTACAAATCATGCCCATGCGAATATGAGGTTTAGAAATGTGGATAATAACTCTGAGTAATGTAGCTTTGTTTATTAAAGTGAAATAGGACTGTAAGGCCATTACATTGATTTTCTTTTGTCTTTGGTTGAAATTTGCCCTCAGGGCAAGAGTATTTTGTGCACTGGATATTTGCATCATCAGTGATGAGTCTCGTCCGTCCCCCCACCTTGAGCCCTGGGGCCCGGGACACATGGGGATCCCAGCACAGGGAAGCCTCTTATTCCTTTGCATAGTCACTTATTGGAACAACTCGCTGCATGTAACGTGTTTCCCATCACTGGAACCAGCTCCTCCACGCGGGCAACACTCCGCACCCTAAGCTGAAGGCATAAGCTTCCTCAGTAGGAATTTCTGTAACCAGAGTTCTTGGCATCCTGCTCACTGACCACCTCCTCTCCCAGCGCCCTTGCTTCAGTAATTTCCTCAGTTTATTGGGACCTGTGTGTTGATCCCATGGTGGTTGCACTGGGTCTCACACTGACCCAACAGCAGGGACTCTGTGGCTCTTAGCCTCAAAGTCAGTCTTGTGCAAACATATCGTGCCTGGCTGGGGAGCCCCGAACCTGGTTGACCCCAGCTGTGCATCTGCATTCGAGCAGTTGCCCTGGAGGTAGAGAGGTCCCACAGCCCTGTGGTTTCATGCGCGACCACAAACCTCAGCCCTGCTCTCACCACAGCCCAGCGGTCCTATCATGTTCCTTCTACGAGTTTTCCTTCCCCCTTGCCTTAGTTCATGGTCTTGTTGCATAAGTTGTTATGGAAACAGGAGCTTCCCAAACAAAATTTCTTCATCTTCAGTCACCTGACCTGTAAGCCCTCCAGCTCAGGTGTCATGACTTCTCATGATGTCTCTCCCGGAAGCTGTCCACTCTCTCCTGCACCCTCAGTCTTCCCTACTCTGAGGGTCATTCTGACTGGCACACAAACACACACCCTTTCTCACAGAAATCCCTTTCCCCAATTCCCTCTTCCTCGGAAGCTCTATGCACGTTCTCTTTCCTCTGTAATGAAATTGCCAGAGCTCTGTCCCTACTTCTCTCCTCCCATTCACTTGTCTTCTGCCGGGATGGCTTCCAAACACCCTCCTGCAGAGAAACTGCCCTTATCCAGAGACCTGCAAACCCTGGGTTGGTCATTTCTCTGTCTTCCTTGATCTTTTCTGCAGCCTTTGATACAGTTGGCTCCTCTGTCCTTGTGCCTCTGGCTCTCTGTGCCGCCACCTCTTTATAGTTTTCCTACTCCCTCACGGGCCATTCCTAATTATCCCTCTTGCTGCCTTCTGTTCCCTATCTTGCCCCTAAGTCAGCAGTTCTCCACCAGAAGTGATTTTGCTCCTAGGGGGAGCGTGTGGCCAATGCTCTCTTTCCCCAGACTCTATTTGTGGTTTGTGTTTGCGATTGCCTGGAGCAATCCCAGTTTGACTGAAAGGTAGATTGACCCATTCTTTTTCTTTAATTTTCTTTCATTGTAAAAACAGTACATTCAATTCAAATTTACAGAAGGAGGTGAAGTACAAAGTAAACTGTTCCCTTCTACCTCTTGTCCTCCCCATCTCTGATCTTATTCTCTGAGGATAACAGTGGGAGATTTATCCCTTTTAGATTTTTTTTTCCAGTGAATTTTATTTCATGTGTATCTTTTTTTTTTTTTTACATTTTTAAAATTAACATATAATGTATTATTTGCTCCAGGGGTACAGGTGTGTGAATTCTCAGACTTACACATTTCACGGCACTCACCATAGCACATACCCTCCCCAATGTCCATGTCATGTGTATCTTTTTATTAAGTTTTATTTATTTATTTATTTATTTAAAAAGTTTTTTAGATTTCTTTTCTTTTTTTTTTTTTTTTAATTTGACAGAGCGCAAGCGCGCACAGGCAGACAGAGTGGCAGGCAGAGGCAGAGGGAGAAGCAGGCTCCCCACCGAGCAAGGAGCCCGATGTGGGACTCGATCCCAGGACGCTGGGATCATGACCTGAGCCGAAGGCAGAGGCTTTAACCCACTGAGCCACCCAGACACCCCCATTTGGAAGGATCTTACATGATCTATGTTTAATGCTCTGGGCTGTCTGGAAAACAGATGTTACCTGAATTGTGTATATATATATTTATTTATTTTTATTTAGAGAGAGGGCACATTGGAGTGTGCCCACAAGTGAGGTGGGGGCAGGACAGAGGGAGAGAGAGAATCTTTTTTTTTTTTTTTAAAGATTTTATTTATTTATTTTACAGAGAGAGATCACAAGTAGACAGAGAGGCAGGCAGAGAGAGAGAGGGAAGCAGGCTCCCTGCTGAGCAGAGAGCCCGATGTGGGACTCGATCCCAGCACTCTGAGATCATGAC